AGGTGTGGGCTAGAGCGGACACCGGCTGTTTTCTGGGTAGGCCACGGATCGCCGTGACCGCGATCCCGGGTGCACGACTAGCCAAAGACTGGCCCCCACCTGCCCTCCGCCCCGCGCCTGGATCCTTTGGGGACACCCCTCCCCCGGCGCCCGTGCTCTCGCGCTCACGCCTCCCTGGCCCTTGTTAACGCGCTGTCCCGGGCGGCGGGAAGCTTTATGCCCTCTGTCCATTGCCATGACCTGAGGCTTTGCTGTGTCATCCTGAACACTTGGCTCACATCTGTTTTCGGCGTTCAGTGAGCATCATGTATGCACTTCGTTCTGGCCTCTAACCCGGTCAACTCTACTCCGGTCCTGGGATTTCTCTCGGGCCCGCGGTCTGATCTAGCTTTCCTTTCCCGCATCGAAGGCTCTGCAGCCTTTTAGGAAGGGTCTTAATTCACTCGATGCACTCCCGGGCTCCCTGCATCTTTCGTGCTGTTACATCTGTGACTAATGGTTTCTCCGCGGGAAGGGTGAGCCTGGCACTCTTCTAATTAAACCTGGCCCCCGAGCGCAGAGAGCTTGAAAGGGGGAGTTTGCCAAGAAACAAGCAAAACCATTAGTGGGATCTTAGCCTCTTACTCCACCCGCCCAATCACTGGGAGCAATTGTCATTCCCAGAGGAAGAAGTTCCTGGCGAGCTCTGTTGGGAAGAACTAGGGCTTGAGCAGTCTTAAGACTGCTGGGGATAACTCCTGTGAGGCCTCGCGTGCAGTCCTGAACGTGAGCACACAGGACAGAGAAGCCCTGGAAAGAGGCAGTATGCCCCACAACCCATTAGCAAGAAGCCAAATCTTATTTTTTCTTACAAAGTTACTAAGTCACAATTTTCCTGCTTTGGTGTGCCAGTAGGAGATATCTGTTTAGGGTAGGCATTCCCAATGACCTTGGGGTGGGTCAAAGGGTGGAAATGTAGCGATGTCTGGGGGTGGAAGGCTGTTTTTACAAGCAGAGAGTCCAATGTCTGCAGGTCCTTTAGGATTCATGTAGAAGGATCTCAGATTAGGGCCTTGAACAGCAGGTTCAGCTGTCCAGGCTAAAAACTCTTAGTAAGAAAAACAACAACAGAAGGGGTAAGGGTGTGTGTGTGTGTGATAAATAGAGCAGTGGGAGGACATTCCTGGGGGCAGAGCAGCAGAAATGAGAGCCAGCTTGACAGTCCATTTTTAACTCAACCCTGGGCAGCTGTACTCCCTGAAGGTCAGGCAAGCCAAGGAAGGAGATGTTGATAGGCTGGTCTTTGAAAACAGATTTCCACTTCTATTTCAATAACAGAAAAGTGGAAAATAAACAAGCCCATTTAAGCCAATTAAAAAGCAGTTTCAGTGGCTAGTGTGTTCAGGACTAGTGAATGGGCTTTTGGTCAGGTGTCAGATGCCAGCTGCTTGGCAGTCTGTCCCTGGGCAGGCCAAAGCCTCCTGTCCTTATCTGGGCAGCATTATTAGTGAGGCTCCTTTTACTGCCTCCAAGGAGAGTTACTAGAATTGTTATAATGAGTGGTCTGAACCTACACTAATGAAATAAAGAAATTACACAATTCAATTTCCTTAAGGTGTATAGGCATAAGTCAAACTAAGTACTGTACTCCTACAGGGCCAGAAAGATTATTGGAAATTTAGAGAGTAGCAGTTACTCTTGGCTCACCTGACTAACTGAAATTTTGCAAAGCCCTCCGGGGTTTGACTGCGGAAAACAATTTACCTAGGTACAAA